GAATGAAAGAGGTTCGTTTATTTCTACATATAAACAAAGGAAGACTTACGATGTAACGAAAGAAAAATATAATAACCAACTTGCACTAAAGCTGTCTGAACTAAAAAGTATTTTAAGCAATAACGCATTGAGTGATCAATTAATAGAAAAATTACCTTTCTATAAGAGTGACAAAAAATTGCAAACACTAGTAGAAATGCTTGTTCTTGATATAATGTCAATTTTAGGTAGCTCAAAGCATTACTTGGAAAATAATTTACTTTTCTTAGACGATAACAGTCCTTTATTAACTGGAAAATGTTTACGTAATCATTTAGCGCATGATAATGCCTTGGTTGACGTTTTATTATCTGATCCTTCAATAGCCGTTGTTTTAAACGCTAAAAAACTTACTGAAGAAAATATAATGAAAAGCAAGAAAAAAATTGGCAAGTTATTAAGTGATAATTCTTCCAAATTGAGAGAGAAATACGATCAAGACTTAGATACCATTACTAATCAGGAAAGAATGTTTGCTGCTTTAGAAGAAGGAAATCTAGAAAGTTTAAAGGATCGTCTGAAAAAAGGTGCAGATATTAATGCTAGAAATGTTAATTTATGGACCGCGTTACATTTTGCTGCTAAAGGACCCAGTCTTGAAGTTATAAAATTTGTTCTTGATCAAAATTTAAGCGTTGATGTGAAGGATATCAATGGTCAAAGCCCATTGCATGTTGCTGCTGCGCATGGAAGGAAAAACATTGTAGAGTTTTTTATAAAAGAAACAGGTTTATATGTTGCTGAACTAGATCAGAGTGGCAGAACACCACTACATGTTGCTGCTCAAAATGGTCACAAGGATACTACGGAAGTTTTATTAGAAAATGAAGCTAATGTTATTACCCAAGATAAATTTGGTCTTTCAGCTTTACACTATGCAATAAATAATAATCATAATGTCGATGTGGTCAAGATTCTATTGGAAAAAGATGTGAACGTTGATATTAATGAAACTATGGGTGGCTTTACCCCGTTGCACGTAGCTGCAGAAAGAGGTCATCTAGAGTTAGTTACCTTCTTGCTTCAAAATAAGGCAAATGTTAATGCTAGAAATGATCAATATTTGACACCATTACATGTAGCAGCAACATACGGCCATCTTGAAGTAGTAAATGCTTTAATTCTAAAAGGAGTTGATATCAACGCTCGAGACATAAGTGGCTGTACACCATTACACTATGCAGTACAATACGGTCATGAGAACACAGCTAATATTCTATTAAAGCATGGAGCTAACGTTAACGCTGTTAACAAATTCTACAATAATACACCTTTGCACTATGCAGCAAAAGATGGACACGAGGGAATTGTTAGAGCTCTATTGAGAAATAAAGCCAACGCTAGTATTGCCACTGTTACAAATTTTACTCCACTGCATTTTGCTGTTCGATATGGTCATCTAGGGATAGTTGTTACTTTACTTAAACATGGTGTTGATATTTGTGCTCAAGATCGATGTAACGGTACACCATTATTCTATGCAGCAGAAAGTGGTCATGAGGAAATTGCTGAACTTTTAATAAGAAAGGGAGCAGAAATTAATGTCAAAGCTAACAATAATATGACACCACTACATGTAGCTGCTCAGGAAGGTCACGAAGACGTTATTAATCTTCTAATAAAAAATAGAGCTGAGGTTGATGCAAAAACTCATAACGGTAGTACACCACTACATCTAGCTGCTCAGAAAGGCCACAAAGATATTATTGATATTCTAATAAAAAATAAATCTAAAGTTGATGCTAAAACTCATGATGGTATCACACCATTGCATCTAGCTGCTTTAAACGGTCAAGGAGGTACTATTGTTTCTCTAATAAAAAATAAAGCTAAAGTCAACACTAAAGATAATAATGGTATTACACCCTTACATGCAGCTGTTGTAAAAGGCCACAAAGATATTGTTAATCTTCTAATAAAGAATAAAGCCCAAATCGATGCAAGAGATTTTGCAGACATTACACCATTACATGCAGCCGTAGAAGTTGGTAATAAAGAAATCGTTGAGATTTTGGCAGCAAATGGAGCCAATGTCAATGTCAAGAGTAACAACTTAACACCATTGCTTTCTGCTATAAAATATAATTATAAGGAAATCGTTGAAGTTCTTATAGCGAATGGAGTTAATATTAATGGCGTTGAACCTTTGTCACTAGCAGTTCTTGCTGGTTACCGAGATATTGTAGAAATTTTGTTAAAAAACAAAGTTTATTTTAATATGAAAGATCCTAAAATTGCTGCACTATTACACTTGGCTGCTAGTAAAGGTCATAAGGATATAGTAAAGGTTCTGATAACAGGAGGAGCTAATGTTCATGCTGTAACTGGTATTTATAATTCAACACCATTATATTTGGCAGCACAGGAAGGTTATGAGGAAGTTGTTGAGATTTTAATAGCAGAGGGCGCTAACGTTAATGTTAAATCTAACGTTGATGATAATACCCCATTACATGCAGCAGCAAGATATGGTCGTGGCAATGTTGTAAAAGTTTTACTAGATAATAAAGCTAATATTAATGTTAAGGATAATATGAATAGAACACCTCTGGAATTTGCAGTGTCATATGGTCATTTACAAATAGTTAAAATGTTACTGCAGTACGAGAAAATAGATATGAATGCAAAAGGTAATGATGATTATACGATATTGCATATTGCTTCACAAGACGGAAGGTTAGAGGTGGTAAAATATCTAGTAGATCAGGGATCTGATGTTAATGCTAAAAATGCCTCTGGTTCAAAACCTATACATATTGCTGCTAGAGAAGGTTATAAAGATACTGTAGAGTTTTTTCTTAGTAAGGGGTTAAATATTAATGAACGTGGTTTAGATAATCAGACATTATTACATTATGCTGCAATGAAAGGTCATTTAGAAGTTGCAAGGTATTTGATAACACAAGGTGCTGATGTTGATGCTAAAGATGTTAATGGTTTAACTCCTATGCATATTGCTGCTAATTTAGGTTATAAAGACGTTATTGAAATTTTATTACAACATGGCGCAGTTTATAACGCTGTTTACTACAAGTTTTATAAAACACCATTAGAAATGTCTAGTAACAAAAACGTTATCAATCTATTAACATTTACTGAGAAATTGTTTGAGGCTGTAAAACGTAATGATTCTTTAGAAATTGAGAATTACATTAAAGCAGGGGCTGTCGTTAACGCTAAAAATGCTAAGGGAACATCATTACATTATGCTGCGTGGAAAGGCTTTGATAGGATTGTCAATATTCTGTTACAAAATAAAGCTGATCCTAATGCAGTTGGTAATAAGGGATTTACCCCTCTACATTATGCCGCTAAGTTCTCTCACTTAAAAGTTGTAAAGCTCTTATTGTCTAACGGTGCAGTATATAATGCTGTTTCTGATAGTGGTAAAACACCATCAGATTTTACTGTAGATAAAAGTATAACTAGCTTATTTAAATTACTGAGTGACTCATTTAAAAATATTAAAAATAATAATTCTCAAGTTGTTAATGATCTTAACATGATACACGATATTGATACAGTAAAAGCAATAATGAATGCTTGCGATAGAGAAAAGAAAACGTTAGTAGTTGCTGCAGTGCATAGTAACTTTTCAAAAGTCGAACAGTTGAAAGAGATATCACAAGGTGATGTATCCGCTCAGATTAATCTAGCTTTGGAGCTTTTTAATCAGGGCCATTATCAAAGAGCCTTAAGTATTTTCAAAAGCGCATATGAAAAAAGAAAAGAATTACTAGGATCAGATAATCCTGGCACTTTAGATTTTCAGACATACATAGGTAAAGTATCTTTCGCGCAAGGAGCTTACCAAGAAGCTTTAAATACATTTGAAGACATTTTCCAAAAACAGAAAAAAATACTGGGTTTGAATGATAAGAATACTTTAAGTACAAGAAGTATAATCGCTTTAGTGCTGCATAAGCAAGGGAGGAATGAAGAAGCTCTTAATATTTATAAAGAAGTTTGTAAGAAACAAGAGGAAATACTAGGGCCAAATGATTTAGATACTTTAGATTCTTACTTTCACATGGCACTAGTATTAGATAAACAAGGAAATTACGAAGAAGCGTTAAATATCAATAGAACAGTTTTTGAAAAAAGAAAAGAAATATTAAGTGCAAATGACATGTCAGTTGTATTTGTTCAAAATAATATAGCAATGGTACTCGCTAACCAGGGTAAGCATGAAGAAGCACTAAAAATTTATAAAGAGGTTTTTGAGAAGAAGAAAGCGATTTTAGGTATTAATCATTCTAGTACTTTGAAAACGTTATTTAATATTGCTTCAAATCTCTTCAATCAAAAAAAATATCATGAAGCTTTGAAAACTTTTCAAGAGGTTATAAATATCCAGAAAAATGCTTTGGGAGCAAATCACCCTGAAACCTTAGATACTCAATACAACATGGCAATTGTACTTTTTTCTCAAGGCAAATTTATTGGTGCACTTAAAGTCTTCAGAGAATGTTTTCATGAAATCAAAGCTATTTTTGGACCAAATCATCCTACTGTTTTGGATATTTTAAATAAGATAGAAAAGATTAATGATATATTAAAGTATGATGGCAGCAATGCATCGGAAATTTTTCAGTATATGCAGGAAGACATTAACATTGCTGCTAGTAATGGTGATATACAAACTCTTCAACGCTTATTAAAAGATGGAGCTGATGCAAATGACAAAGACATTGATGGAAGAACACCGTTACATTACGCTGTTAGTAATGGACAGGCAAGTATTGTAAACATCTTACTAAGGAACAGAGCTGATGTTACTCAAACTACTAATAAAGGTAATACACCATTACACATTGCTACTTCTAAAGGTTACAAAGAAATTGTTGATGTTTTATTACAACATGTAAGTCATAATAAATTAAATAATTTTATTAATGCTAAAACAGCTGCTACCGGTGCTACGTCGCTTCACGTTGCAGCTAAGAATGGTTTTTTTGATGTTACCAAGTCCTTATTGAAGCGAGGTGCATTTTATAATATTAAAAATAATGAAGGTAAAACACCTCTTGATCTTTCTAAGGATCAAACTGTTAACGACTTACTGAAACTAGTTGAAGAAATATTTAAAGATGCAAAAAATGGTAATGTTGAAATGATCAACAAATTAAAGGCCGTAAAACCTGATGAGTTTGTAGTTGTAACAAATGCTCGTAATAATCAAGGAAATACGTTATTGCAAGTTGCTGTAACTAATAGGCACAAGAATGTTGCGAGTAAATTGTTAGAAATGCTAAAAACGCCAGATGAAAATTAAGTTGTCAATACATAGAAAGGAGTTAAAAGCTTAAAACTTTAATTAATGCTGTTGAAATATTATGTAACTTAAGTTAATAATTTTAAAGAAATTGAGTATCGGTAGTTTGCTATTAAAAATATAGTGGATAAAATATTCCTATTTTTTTCGTCATGCTGTTAATTCTGTTGTTCTTTAATTATTTCGAATATTATAAGAAAGGCTAGATAACATCATAATAGTACAATTTAATAGTAACTTTAAGCCTTAAGTCATATAAGAATTTTTTTTAGATATGATAAGTAGTTGTGCATGTGCTATGATATACGTTCAAAAAATTTAAAAATTTTAAGTGTGATAACATTTTTATTTGGAATAGTTGAAACTGAAATAGATGAATAAAAACTTATTAATTTTTTATTTGCTATCAGATTACGTTCTGTCTAATACATCTACTTTTCAGATCACGTCTTTTTATTTCTTGTATTTTAATTTTAAAAAAAATGTAACTTTTGTAGCTAGTGCTTCGCTTTTCTCTTTTTCAAAGTATTTTTTTTACTATTTTTAATTTTAAGTGTAGTTGGCCATAAAGGTTTTATTAATTTTTTTTATTGCTGCTTTTTTATTTCTTTTTTAAATTGTGCATTATATAATCAAAATTTGATTTTCCCATTTTTACTGAAAGTGTCAAGCTGTTTTTTTTTATTTCGCGGTGTGTGATAAAAAATTATGCATATCTTTCACCCCCAGCGTGTGCATGCCTATGTCATGGATATTATAGTGAATGATTGTAGTGTATCGTAATTGATAACGTGTAAGAATAATATCAGGACCACGAGAAGCAACATCTGTTACAACCATGATTTGATTGCGATCAGGATGAAAAGAATTGATAACCCTGTCGCGTTTGTGCTGTTTTAAATAACAGTGTTAAAACGCTAGAGTTATCTTTGTTGAATTAATTAGCCAGCTGCTTTGCTCTCCTTATTGCTTCGTTTTGACAAAAATAGTTTTGACAAAAATTTAAATTTTTATGTACGATAACGTTTTTATTTGGAATAGTTGAAACTGAAATAGATGAATAAAAACCTATTAATTTTTTATTTGCTATTAGATTACAATCTGTCTAGTACACCTACTTTTTAGATCACGTTTTCTTATTTCTTATATTTTAATTTCTTAAAAAAAGATTTGTGCCTTTTGTAGCGCTTGGTTTTTTCTCTCTTTAAAAATATTTTTTTCATTATTTTTAGTTTTTAGTGCAGTTAGCTGTTTAAAGTTTTTTTCTGCTGCGTTTTTTAAATGTGTGTTTTAATTGCGTATTATAATCAAAATTTGGCTTCCCGTTTTGACTGAAAGTTTTAAGCCGTCTTTTATTTTGCGATATATGATAAAAAATAATGCATATTTTCTTCTCCAGCGTGTGCATGTCTATATAGCGATGGATATAATTAACTTTTGGTTGTACTGCGTCATAATTGATAACGTGTATAGGAATATCAGGACCACGAGAAGCAACATCTGTTGCAATCATGATTTGATTGCGATCACGATGAAAAGAATTGATTACCCTTTCACGTTTGTGCTGTCTTAAATCATAGTGCCAAAACGTTAAAGTTGTCTTTGCACAATTTGTTAGCCAACTGCTTTGCTCTACTCGCTTTGTCTTGGTAAAAATAGTTATTGATCGTTTACGCTGATATAATTCGACTGATGTAGTTTGCCATATTTTTCTGGTTCTGCATAATTGCATAAATAATTTCTTGCTTGATTTTTGTAGTAACTTTATACTTAATAGAAACACGTTCTGATTGATTATGGTATTTTTCAGCAAGTTTAACTATATCACCAGGAAGAGTCATAGATAACATAAAGGTTTATTGCATTTTAAGAAGATATTTTATAATTTAAATTTGTATTCCAAAGTTTATGTCGAACATACTATTTGCTTCATCAAACACGAGAGAATTGATATTGTGAGCAAAGACTTACGTTAAGTATGATTTATATAGGGTGTCTCTTTTTTAACATCTGTGAGCTCACATACACACGCGCTCACGTACACGCGCACACACACACACACACAAGCGCGCCCACGTCCACGCACTTGTACACGCACACAACAGTAGCAGCAGAGAGGGTTTGGAGTCAAAAAATGCTACGGGAGTGACGAATCGTGGGGCCTTATCTCTGCTGACAGACCCACGTATACACACACACGGGATGCTATAGACTTTACCTCCCCGTGGTAACGCCTCATCTTGGATAACGCTAAAGACGTCTTTAAAAAAAGAAGGAAAAAAACATGGACACGAACACTACCGTTCCGATGCACCCGCCAGAAAACCGGATACTATACACGGATTCGTTGGCAAAATTTATGAATCAGATACAGGAATAGGATTTCCCATTTCGACGGGAAAATTCTACTGGCGTCCCTGGAGAGACTTAAGGAATCGAAATCCGGGTATTAATATACTAGGTGGCAATTACTAATAGAACTTCTCGAGTTGCTTTGCGGAGAAGGACTCCTATGGCAGTAACCGGTACAACTGACAAAGAATGGGAGGATTTTGCCACGATTTTCTCGAACACTACTTGCTGCAATAATTTTCCGCTCCCAATTCATATGTAAGATCCATATCAGGCCAGGTTACAGCTGCTGGACAAATCTTATCACAAATTCGCCATCAATATTATCGTCATGTAGCGTCGGCTACCGGATTCTTGGAGGAAGAGAGTTGACATGCTAAACAACAACGTGCATCCGAGATATAAATTATACATTTAACAGGAGACCATGAGGCGAGCGAGAGACATACTCCGCCACACCGAAGAGTTCGAGTACATAGAAACATTAGAAGCACAAAGCAAGGCCCACCATACGACAACGCAGAAAGCACCAGTTGCCACAACCGCCTATATTGCCAACAATCAGAGCATACGTGCTTCGATTGCCGGCGAATCCCGCGTTGCGGGAGCCCCCGGCAAAGATGGCATATTAACAAAGGCTGCGAGGAAATGCCACTCGGGCAAAAAAAAAGCGATCGTACCTCGGTTCTTCGAGCCTGAAAAAAGACATTGGTCGGAAGAAGAACGTCTGTAGCAATTCATGCGAGTAGAATTTCTGAAATTCGAAGAAGTCCGAGAGCTCACGGACTGGTTGCAACATGTCATCCAAGTTAAGATGAAACAGCAGTACCGCCCTTGCCGCGTTTGAACACGAGGACATGACTGGCTTCAAAATGGGCAGGACCGTTTCATGATGTGGATCGAAATACAGATACTTCGCCGAGCCACTGCGATAAACGTCGTAAAGTGCATTTCCGGAGTTATATTACGTCATGCGCCGAAGAGATCCTCACAGATAACTGTACGCATCTACGGTCCCGACAATTTGCCGATCTGCTACGAGGATTCAGGATACATCAACCAGCATACGTCCTGCATTGTATTACGGTCAAACCAATTGCATTATCAACTCCATGATCATAATATGTCCAGAAAAAACTATATAAGTCCTGGGACGAACGATTGCCCGAGCTGCAGTTATTCTGTAACCCTGCGATGCACGATGTTACCGGCTGCACGCCCGTCTTCCTCAGTCACGGGGATTAATTGAGATGCCTGAGGGGAAAAAACCAAAACCGGGACCGCTACACACCGTCCGCCATGGATTGGAAGAGGCGTACAAGTTAACAAAGATTCAGTTAATCTGTGCTATAATTTGCTGGCGATATTTGCAGCCTCACATCGAGGAATGGGTCAGGGTGTTGAAACGAGGCCACTCGCTGTCCGACGAGCAGGCATAGGATTCGATGCAAAACTCACGCCGAAATATATGGAGCCAGAAAGAAATACGCCGCATTATTTTCCTGGTCATCGTAGACCGCAGAAGCCCGTACAGGAAATGGATATTTGAAAGGTATACAGAAATTTATTTATCTTGTGTATTTAGTCTGTGTAGTATCTTGGTTTTATCCGTATTTAGAGATTCAATATAAGTATATTCAGTCGTGTGTATTTTGTACACAGATTAAGTATACACATAGAGGAAGTGTGCGATACTCTAAGCCCCTGAAAACTAATATTAAGCGTTGTCTACAATGGCAGCAGGAGTAGTGGATTAAGATTATAAGACATCAGAGTAAGTTGTTTTCCTGTCTAATAGGGCATAAAGTAAAGCCGTAAGCGAAATGGTTGAATCTCATTTTCTACAGTCTACTCAACCGTTTCACTTACGGCTTACTTTACGCCCTATTACACTGAAAACCCAACTTACTCTGACGTCTTAGAATCTTAATCCACTACTGCTGCTGCCATTGTAGATAACGCTTTATAGATGACTGAATTTAGTTTGTACTGAGTTGTAGTGTCAAATGTTTGTTATAACGTGTTCCTAACAAATTTCGTTTATTTATATTAAGTGTAATGTTATATCAATTTTTTCGAAGGTAAATTTTGGAAGGGTAATGTTGGATATGTCTGGTAATGTGCGGAACATCTTATTAATCTTGCAAAAAATTTTTCACATATTTTTATACATATTAGTGATTAAATAGTCTAATAATTATTATTTGTTAATATGATAATATATTAATAGTCTAATAATTATTATTTGTTATATAATTATATATTACAAACTCTAATTTTATGAAATAGGATACATGATTATTTGATATACAAATATAGAACTATATACGCATACATAAATTATTATATGCTTTCTGTATACCTTATATGTACTATTTTTCTAGGGACTGCACAGGCAAGTAGTACATCGCTACGTGCACATCCAAGATTTAAAACGGTTATCGAAGAGTTGTTGCGCGACAATCCGTTGGAATACGATCCAGCTCAACCGGCTATGGAGGAACGAGCCACGCTATTCCGAGCGGAATCAGGGACGACACAACCATCCGTGTCGATCCCAGCAGAACAAGACAAATTGCGAACCGCGAATTGGGATGATCCAGCGATTCGACGCCAGGTGATCGAGCGATCCGCCAACTAGGCGAAACAAGCGTGACTGATCACGCCGCCACCGTTTCGAGACCACTGATTTGATATTGTTAATTTATTTAAATTAGTTATTTGATTATTATAAATTT